TGTTTGTTACGTTTTGTGGGGATCAGGCTTCTGTAGTTGTCTGTTAGCGCTGGTGGGCATAAGGCTTCTGTTGTTGTCTTTTAGTGCTGGTGGGGGCCAGTCGTCTGTAGTTGTCTGTTCGGGCTGGATGGGACCAGTCTTCAGTAGTTGTATGTTAGGGCTGGTGGGGGACAGGCTTCCCGTAGTTGTCTGTTAGGGGTGGTGGGGGTCAAACTTCTGTAGTTGTCTGTTAGGGCTGGTGGGGATAAGGCTTCTGTAGTTGTCTGTTAGGGCTGGTGGGGATCAGGCTTCTGTAGTTGTCTGTTAGGTTTTGTGGGGATCAGGCTTCTGTAGTTGTCTGTTAGCGCTGGTGGGCATAAGGCTTCTGTTGTTGTCTTTTAGTGCTGATGGGGGCCAGTCGTCTGTAGTTGTCTGTTAGGGCTGGATGGGGCCAGTCTTCAGTAGTTGTATGTTAGGGCTGGTGGGGGACAGGCTTCTGTAGTTGTCTGTTAGGGCTGGTGGGGGTCAAACTTCTGTAGTAATCTGTAGTTGTCTGTTAGGGTTGTGGGGTCAGTCTTCTGTAGTTGTATGTTAGGGCTGGTGGGGGTCAAGCTTCTGTAGTAATCTGTAGTTATCTGTTAGGGTTGGTGGGGTCAGTCTTCTGTAGTTGCCTGTTAGGGCTGGTAGGGGTCAGGCGTCTGTAGTTGTCTGTTAGTGCTGGTTTGGGCCAGACTTCTGTTGCTGTCTGCTAGGGCTGGTAGGGGTCAGGCTTCTGTAGTTGTCTGTTAGGACTTGTGGGTGCCAGGCTTCTGTGGCTGTCTGCTAGGGCTGGTGAGGGCCGGGCTTCTGTAGTTGTCTGCTAGGGCTGGTGGGGTCAGGCTTCTATGTGTCTCTCTGTTAGGGCTGGTGGGGGTCAAGCTTCTTTAGTGGTCTGTAGTTGCCTGTTAGGGTTGTGGGGTCAGTCTTCTGTAGTTGTCTGTTAGGGCTGGTGGGGGCCAAGCTTCTGTAATAGTTTTTAGTTGTCTGTTAGGGTTGGTGGGGGTCAAGCTTCTGTTGTTGTCTGTTAGGGCTGGTAGGGGACAGGCTTCTGTAGTTGTCTGTTCGGGCTGGTTTGGGATCAGGCTTCTGTAGTTGTCTGTTAGGGTTGGTGGGGATCAGGCTTCTGTAGTTGTCTGTTAGCGCTAGTGGGCATAAGGCTTCTGTTGTTGTCTTTTAGTGCTGGTGGGGGCCAATCGTCTGTAGCTGTCTGTTAGGGCTGGATGGGGCCAGTTTTCAGTAGTTGTATGTTAGGGCTGGTGGGGGACAGGCTTCTGTAGTTGTATGTTAGGGCTGGTGGGGGTCAAGCTTCTGTAGTAATCTGTAGTTGTCTGTAAGGGTTGTGGGGTCAGGCTTCTGTAGTTGCCTGTTAGGGCTGGTGGGGGTCAGGCGTCTGTAGTTGTCTGTTAAAGCTGGTTTGGGCCAGTCTTCTCTAGTAGTCTGTAGTTGTCTAATAGCACTGGTGGGGGGCAGGCTTTTGTAGTTGTCTGTTAGCGCTGGTGGGGATTAGGTTTCTGTAGTTGTCTTTTAGGGCTGGTGGGGGCCAGTCGCACGTAGTTGTCTGTTAGGGCTGGATGGGGCCAGTCTTCTGTAGTTGTCTTTTAGGGCTGGTGGGGGCCAGTCGTCTGTAGTTGTCTGTTAGGGCTGAATTGGGCCAGTCTTCTGTAGTTGTCTGTTGAGGCTGGTGGGGGACAAGCTTCTGTAGTTGTATGTTAGGGCTGGTGGAGGTCAAGCTTCTGTAGTAATCTGTAGTTGTCTGTTAGGGTTGGTGGTGTCAGTCTTCTGTAGTTGCCTGTTAGGGCTTGTGGGGGTCAGGCGTCTCTAGTTGTCTGTTAGTGCCGGTTGGGGCCAGACTTCTGTGGCTGTCTTTTAGGGCTCATGGGCGTCGGGCTTCTGTAGTTGTCTGTTAGGGCTGGTGGGGGTCAGGCTTCTGTAGTTGTCTGTTAGGGCTGGTGGGGGACAGGCTTCTGTAGTTCTCTGTTAGGGCTGGTGGGGGTCAGGTTTCTGTAGTTGTCTGTTAGGGCTGGTGGGGGTCAAGCTTCTGTTGTTGTCTGTTAGGGCTGGTGGGGACAGGCTTCTGTAGTTGTCTGTTAGGGCTGGTGGGGGTCAGGTTTCTGTAGTTGTCTGTTAGGGCTTGTGGGGGTCAAGCTTCTGTAGTTGTCTGTTCGGGCTGGTGGGTGCAGGCTTCTGTATTTGTCTGTTAGGGCCGCTGGGGGTCAGGTTTCTGTAGTTGTCTGTTAGGGCTGGTTGGGGCCAGTCTTCTTTAGTTGTCTGTTAGGCCTGGTGGGGGCCAGGCTTCTGTGGCTGTCTCCTAGGGCTGGTGGGGTCCAGGCTTCTGTATTTGTATGTTTCCATAGTTTTTGGTTTGTTGGTACCTGTTTAAAACAAGTTTCCAGAATGTCAATAGCCGGAAGAGAATCCGCGCGCTGCAAACGCCGCATTGCCGACGCCGCATTGCCTGTTCATACACAAACAATGAATGAAATCACATAAACCACGACTGCAACATTGGCAGAATCAATAAGACAGAAATAGTGGTCCACAGACATTTAATGACCGTCCTTGAAAGTGTCAAAATCAGGAATGATACACTACGTACGTGTGTGGCACTACTGCGTAAGGCACGTGCAAACTATTTGATGTGTTTTGGTGTTTTTCAGACATAAACGTTCTTAACATTTACATTTCATGATCCTCTGCTTTTTATGAAGAGTATATAATTTATTAAAAGTATCGAAAGGGTCTCAATTTTACTGCAGAACATAAATTTGGAAAAATGGGACGTGATACTTGACAAGATATGTTTTGAAATCTGGCCTCTATAACCATGTACTATCTCGATGTTCACGTGATACTGCAGTACAATGGTTGGAAACTGCAACAAAAGTATAAAAAAAAATATTTATAAAATGGTTTATCTGTATTTGGCAGAGATAGAGGATTTATATCAGTGATAGATGTGACTTCCTCACTGACAATTATATAATAACTAGATAACGCGACATATATGTATGACATGATGCATAGTTATAATGAGGTATAAGATAAAACATAGCAAGGTGATAAACCTCAAAGTACAATGTATCTTGAATCTTGACGTCATTTCTGGAGATTCGAACTTGATGACGTAATTTTGACGACATTACTTTTGAGAGGGAAGTGTCTAGTGTGTTGATCCCCATAGATGTAGCTGGATAAACGCAATGGCCAAACGATCGCACCCTAAAGTGGGAGAGATATGACAATCGGTATTGGGAGAAACGGTACAGATAATCGTCAAAATACCCCCTTTACCCTGTTCATAAAATGGACTTGTCCGACATTGCCGAGTTCGGATGGTATTCAGGGAGTTATTTTTATTTAAATATGGGGAAATTATTTTGAAACTTAAAGAGTCTGTACATAATGTCGATATCTCATATAAGAATTAAACGACTCGTGGTCGTTGTTTTTCGTACAATACAACACTGCAGGATAATAAGCCACCATGGTTTATTCTCCCTGTGGTGGTTTATTGTACCATAAACACCGACCATGAGTCGTTTATTTCTTAACATGAATATATGATCGATATGTGAATATATATGGATAACGGGACATGAACAAAATATATGGAAAAAACAGAGCTCCAGATAACTTTTTGAGCAATTGAGTTTTTACTATTTTAATTGGGTTATTACAGTTTTCATTGGGTAACCAATATTTTTTCACTCATCTATTCATCACTCTATTGGGTATGTCCCAAAATTAGTGAACATTTTAAGATTTTTAAAACATGTAATATTGTTTCAGATGTATATAACTGTCTCGGAAAGTAAATTAGCTCGTAAGTGTGTTTCGGAAATTAGCTCCATTGAATCCATGCTGAAAAAGCCTTTTGGGGTATTTACGCGAGCTGTTTTTTTAAACATTTGAGTTTTTCATTTATCGCATGCGTTTCTGAACGCAAGTTTATTGAAAGTAATTGGGTTTTGGATATGTTGGGGGGTATTTTACGGAAATACGCTGCTTACCTGCAGCTCTGCAAAAATAACCAGATGTGGATATTAAAGATGCATTTGTTCATGTGTTGATATAACGATGTACATTTTGCATGACAAAAATAACATGTACTTAGTTTATGCCATCAAACGATGACAAGTAATGTATATAAATTTAGTTAATGAAATGAAAGATAACGAGTGAAAAATGAAAAAATCCACCAATATTGAATTCTGTTCATACTTTATGCCTTGGAATGATAACGAGTCACGGACATGGAAAATATAACCAGACAGGGAGACAAGACATGCGGTATGAATAACAATATATGGATATGTTACTTTGAAATCGATTTCATGAAATTACTAAATATTTAGTTAGCGTAATGACTAACCATGCTAACCCAACTAGTCATTTCACTCATTTCACAGTCTGACTGCACCGTATACATGATTTGGTGTACAAAGATAACGAGAATTCGTATCAGAATGATCTGACACCTAGAAATAACGAAATCTACAGTATACGCCTTGGCCGCATCCGTGGTCTAGTGGTAGATCGTTCGCCCCGGGAGCAGAAGGTCCAGGTTCGAATCCCAGTCGCGTCAAACCAAAACACGTTGAAAGATGGTACATTTTGTTACCCTGCCTGGCACTCGGCATTTACAAGGACTGGTCGGCTCGGGGTCAGTATACTGTCTGAGTGTCATGTTAAACTAAAGCATGGTATCTTAGTGGGCTAGCACTATAAAATCGGAATTGGTCCAGACTAGTACAAGCAACCACATACACACGTGCATGCACGTCTCTATGTAAGTGCAATAATCTTGGACGGGACATTAAACCCAATTTCACCTCACCTCACCAGTATACGACTAAAGGAATACAGAAACATGTATACTCGATACAATATACAACTATAACGAGAAATACATAGCTTATATGATGTATTAATTTAAGAAGACTTCTCATCTTCTAGTTATTCAGCACATGCTGTCATTGCAGGTATGCAGCACGAAAAACCAGACCTACGAAAGCGAGTGTGAGCTAGATCGCGATCACTGTCTGTGTAAGACCAAACAGCCCGGTTGCAGCAACGCCAGACTCAACAAAATACAGCTTGATTACTTTGGGGGCTGTCGAAGTAGGTTTGGCTACATATAATCATGACAGCAATAGAGAAACAAAACATAGTATGCTACTTTATGGAGTCCTGAATACTGAATTTTGTACCATCTGAATTAGGGCCAGTGTGCGTTTCTAATAGATTATAAGATTATAAGATTGTGTAAAGATGCGTTCTTGAGGTGGGTGTATTTCATTATATTGCAGAACTGACAAAGTGTCCCGACGATGAATTTGAGGAATTCCCTATAAGGATGAAGGAATGGTTGTTCCTCGTCATGAAACAGCTGGTGAGACAACTTGTAGAAATTTACTGGTTGATTTGTTCATTTTTAGAAGGCATTCTAGGTGTAGTTTCTCGAACATTTATGCAACCTGCGCCATCTCCCTGTCAATAGAAATAGCATTTTCTAATCCATGAACTAAACTACGTATATTTATGTTCAAGGCTTCTCGAGATGAACTTGGCGAGTATATAGACCTCCTAGACAAGGCCAGGAACGATGCCAACCACACAGAGGCCGTGCTATGGAAGTTCTGTGACCTTGACTCCAGTCCACAAGACAGGTTAGAACATACTGAACGTGATACAGGGAAAAAAGTGTTTTGTACAGTAAAACAGCATCATGGGATAATATCCTTGTAAAACACTGGCTATCCAAAATCCTATTTATCGTCAGAATGAATGACACGATTAACCATATTTAAGTAGATACAGCATTACTTGTGGCACATGAGGACATGATAAGCCACCCTCTTAGTTCTTCTGCAAGATCCATTGTAAGTTCAATGTTTTTGTTCACTCTCATCAATTCCTGCTTCAGACAAGTGTCCCGGAGAGAACTGCAATACATTGTTCAGTCTTTGAAGGCGTGGGAGCACTGCCTTGTTCCCTTCCTGTCCATGTGCGATCAAGACAGCAATCGCAAGATCACACTTACAGAATGGGGAGCCTGCCTCGGCGTTAACTCAAGTAAGAGAAATATTTATACCTTAGAGACACATGCAGACATGCCATGTGTACGTGGTTCAAGTACTTAAAGGTCTATTCCATCAATAATATTCCATCCGCACCATGTAACTTTACCTTTTTGCATAATTCTATCTTTATTGGTTTGTGTGTGTACGTTTCAGTGCCATTTGGAGATAATGTATTATTTGAACCGTCGATTGTGAGCAGATTAACAGATATAGATTGTGCTTTCAGAGAAAATCTCGGACAAATGCATTGACATCCGGGCCCGGGCCAAAAGACACTAGAAGGCATGAGTCCTAACTGACCAGGCCAACGCATCACAGGGACATCAAGTACATCTTGTAACTGAAGAAAGCTATACCGATAAAGAAACTAGATTTAAAGAAAATAGCGTCTGTAACACCAATTCAATACACATTATCAAAAAGAAACAAAGACGAAATGGACGGGAAGAAAATCACAGAAAGTTATACATGATAATAGTTAAATGTTTACAATTAACATTGCATCGGCGTTTATCTCAGGTATATGGAGATATGATATTTATTTTACTTCATACATAACATGTTTAATATTTATATCAAATCAAATTCAATTCAGAACCTGACATGTTTAACTGGTATAATATTAATCAAGAGGTTAATATCCCTAATTTGGTATTCAAATATGTGACATAGCGTTGTTTGCTTTCTAGTTAACACTGGTTCTACTTTCAAGAGAACTGTAATCACTGCCAAACACCTTTTATTGATACACAATAAATCATAAGATTGATAAACAGTGATACATGTGTTTAATGGTTTTTGGATCAATCGTCATTGACCTGACAGGAGAGAGTATGTAGGAATGTCAAAGGAAAATCCATGTGTAATATGTTTCAACGTGAAGCCACAACATCAGCATCACAGGGCGTTATTCTTACGAAAGCCTAATGGTGCTACTTTGGTAGCATAATATTATTAACCGAAATCTGTAACTCAAGAAATTCCATCTTCCTGAGCCAAAAGCGTTAAGTGACTTTAAAAGTCCAGTTTCCAACCGTGCCGAACTACGCTGGAATTCCTGGGCTCGTAGCGCCACCAGTGGTTATTACGAGTTATGTCCCTTCTAAGCCTCTCCTATGGACCAATCAGATTCCACCCCTAGTATCACTTGCATTTGCTTCAAACAAAATGGCGACGCCAAGTCAAGACGATCTGATCGATAATCAAGAGCTATATTGTGATAAAACGGACCTTACATCGCGAAGTGCATCAAATCACGTGAGCGACTTGAAACAGTAAAAGATTTGGAAAATACCTGCTCACGCCGAGTTGGCGGTGCACATGCTTTGCATATTCTGCAATCGACCGAAATCAACGAACAGTTTACGAACCGGATTTTGATTTCATTGCGCGAGTTTGATTGGACCATGCATAGACTCGTTAGTCCAGCCAAAATCTAACTCCATAATACCAGCCTATTTCGGTAAGGGTGGACACTGGACTTTTATAGTCAGTTAACGCTCTTGCCTCGGGAAGATGAGTAATTCTTGCAAATATAGAACGTATATTTCAACAAACGTTGTGTGTGTGCTACTGGCAACAACAGAGTTGTCACGCTGTATTATATCTTCAGTATAGTGAAGATTGGGGTTATATATACACCTGAAGAAGATATATACCATTTTACTTACCTGAGAAACCAGTAGTTGCCAGGTAGTAATGTGTGTTTGGGGTTGACATGGCGATACATCGTCTTCCTATTAAGTGTGGTAATTCCACGATCGGCGTTGATCCACACAAGCTTTGCTGGAAGTGCATACCTAGGAGAGTTAGTAGGTGTACTCGGTAATGCTCTCTTTCCCTGGAGTCGCTCGCCAAGGTGGTGGATTCTTAGAAGAGAGAGTGAGTGAGTATTTGTTACGCCAGCCCATCGTCGATCCCATGTCCACCGCATGGTGACTAGGGTAGTCGGGTTTTTAACAATTACCCATCATGGACACCGCCACCATGGAACCGCAGCCGAGTTGAACTGGGACTGACAGCAGTTTCCGGCCACGAACAAGACGACCAGTATGCTGCTTACTGACGGTATTACCAGCCTCGTTACAGCTCTCGGGTCAGACCTAGTAATAAAGAATTAGAGTGAAGAGAACTAAAGAGTCCGATGTATCTCTTAGAGCAGATTGCAATCTGACATTCCCTTACAGAAATTATTGAAAGAGATTTACCATCTGATGCCCACCTTAAACCACAAATGTTTAGAGTACCCAGGTTGCCATCTTAACTCATAGACGTTTCTCTCTCCTCTACGGAACTAATGTCTACAACCACGCAAACGACAGCATTAAGAAGTTGTGGATTAAGGAAAAGCTCCCTCTTTCACAACTAAAGCATCATACTTAGCAGACTCGTGATTGCCCCACCAGATCATCTAAGTACGTGTGAATGGGGAGCAAGTTACTTCTCCAAATACTAAGGTGTTTTAATCGATGTCCATTGAAGACATGCGATGGATATTGGGGCATATATCAACTGGTTTGCAGCAGGTGTTGCATTACACCACCTTTACAGGAACCATTTTGAAGGTGTATGAAGAGATACAGTGAGTTTTTAACCCAGACTGACCAAGTCGACCTGATTCACAGCCTACTTGATCACAGCATCATCAGTATGAAAGAAGAACATATAATTTCACAGATGTGGATGTCCAGTCAGTTCACTTGCTTGCAGAGGCAACATCTCCTTTCTCAAGTTAGCACCATAGGTGTATCAGCTCAGGCTAGGAAGTTGGAAGCGCCCTTCCTGTTCAATAATAAGCTCAACAAGGTTTTAGATGGAGTGTGTCAGGACACCACCAATAAATTCCACCATTTCTAGAAATAATCTGTCAGCCAGCGCTCATAGCTCTGCGTACCAATTTGAGAGTCCACAGGATTCTTCCAGGGGCCATGGTTTTTGTGATGCTCCTAAGAGGAATTGTATACCCTCAAGAAAAAAAGAGTCCTATGGTTGTAGCATGAACACTCATACACCCTTACAGAGCACGAGAAAGCGGTCGCCAGTTTGCGCAAGGCGATGAGGATTTGGTCACAGAGGACGCAAGCCTGGCGGAAGAGGGAATCGATGATAGCGAGTGTTTGGCAACTCTCATCCTTTGGACTAGTAACTTGTACTAGGACTAAAATTTGGAAGCAAATCACATCCGACCTCTGGGGTTAAAAGTTTTACATCTGCAACCAGTCTTTGTCTCCAGACCTGAGGGATGCTGATTCGTTCTAACAGGTCACAAGTTAACAGCAGCTTCGATGGGTATTGAGGCTCTATTCGTGAACATTACAGATCACAATCAAGCTGTTGGGACAAAGGCAGGGAAACTCCAAAAACTGGAAGCAAATTCCATTTGACCGCTGGTTTTTAAAAGTCGTAATGTATGCGTACACTTACTGTAGATTGACATGTCGTATTTGCTCTTAATAAAAATCAGACGCAGCATAAATAAACCTGAATACAGTCGAGACTTTCGAGTAGTTTGCGTTTCTTTTACTCCCAGTTTTATAATCATTTTGATCGTAGTGATTACAGCAATGGTAACTGTCAGTAGTTGGTAGCATCGTTCTGGAACCGCTCCTGGCTTCTGATTGGTCGGTTGGGTCACGTGACCTCTAATGACGTCACTTCCGGTTTCGGTTTGCGCAGGGCATTTTGGTCATCCGTGCGCATCCAAGATGGCGGCACATCCGTTTCCGGTGGTGTGCGCACCTCCAAAAGGGCGGCACATCCGTTTCTTGGGAGGAGGGGGAAACCCAAAGAAGCGCTCGTACAATGTGAAAAGATCGACATTGAAAGAAGCGCGTATAAAATCTTGGATGTACCGTTTTTTGTTTTTTTGTTTTTCTAAAAATAGAAGAAGCGTTGGTGGTGGTGTTGGAGAGAGGTGGTTGTGGTGGTGGATGGGTGATTAAGTGGGTGGTGGTGGTGGTGGAGGAAGGCGGTGGTGGGTGAGGAAGTGGGTGGTGGTGGTGGTGGTGGGTTCTTTGTTTGGGTTTGGTGGGTGGGTGGCGATGGAATGTGAAAATGATAGATCACTGAGACGAGTTTATCATACACAGTCGACGACTCTGCCACTTTGTTGCTAGGTTGACGTCATATCGGCGAAGGATCTTGTAACAACATTCCACAAATCATGTCATCGGGTATGGTGATGCGATTGTAAACTTTGAGGTGTAAGGTTTCGTTCCACAAGGCGATCGTGTATTTTAGCCCACTATGACAGTCGTTCGTCTAAGTTACAGTGGGTGAGTGGCGATCACCTTAGCGCTACGATCATGGTGTGGAATTCTAAAGGTGTTGCCTGAATTCTAAAGGTGAATCGACAGGCACAGACATGAACGTGATGTAGGTTTATGCCTACTGATGTATTTCGTGTCTCCCCCATGCAAACATGGTGCCACGCGTGAAGACAAACGAACGTTTATCCATAGGATGATGACGTTGTCACTTGTTTATTTATACCGAGGAGTTGGCTCTCGTGTAGGTCTACATACGAACTGTCAGGCGTGTCTCCGTGCACACGTCATGTACTTCGTGTTGCCATGCAAACGTGGTGCCACGCGTGACTACAAACACACGTTTATCTATAGGATGAACACGTTGTCATTCGTTCACCCATGCCGAGAAGTCGACACTCGTGTGGGTTGACATGCGTACTGTCATTCGTGTCTCCATGCAAACGTGATGTACTTCGTGTGTTTCCATGCAAACGTGATGTACTTCATGTTGCCATGCAAATGTGATGTCATGCGTGTCTTCAAACACACGTTGATCCAGAGGATTATTTATTATATTTAGTATTTTATAAGGAGAGAGAGAGAGAGAGAGAGAGAGAGAGAGAGAGAGACAGATACGTGGTGTTTGACTCGTGTCTCCAGGCACACGTGATGCCACTCGTGTACACCACCATACATACCAACATACATACATACATATTTTGAAACATGGTGTCACGCGTAGGCGTGTGCCTCCAAGAGGACGAGGTGGAGGGTGTGGGTTCTTTTGGATTGTTGTTGTTTGTGTTGGCAAAGCAAGCAGGGTGGGTGTCGATGGTGTGTGGAGATGATTGATCACTGAGACGAGTTTATCATACACAGTCGACGACTCTGCCACTTTGTTGCTAGGTTGACGTCATATCGGCGAAGGATTTTGTAACAACATTCCACAAATCATGTCATCGGGTATGGTGATGCGATTGTAAACTTTGAGGTGTAAGGTTTCGTTCCACAAGGCGATCGTGTATTTTAGCCCACTATGACAGTCGTTCGTCTAAGTTACAGTGGGTGAGTGGCGATCACCTTAGCGCTACGATCATGGTGTGGAATTCTAAAGGTGTTGCCTGAATTCTAAAGGTGAATCGACAGGCACAGACATGAACGTGATGTAGGTATATGCCTACGTGATGTATTTCGTGTCTCCCCCATGCAAACATGGTGCCACGCGTGACGACAAACGAACGTTTATCCAGAGGATGATGACGTTGTCACTTGTTTATTTATACAGAGGAGTTGGCTCTTGTGTAGGTCTACGTACGTACTGTCAGGCGTGTCTCCGTGCACACGTCATGTACTTCGTGTTGCCATGCAAACGTGGTGCCACGCGTGACTACAAACACACGTTTATCCATACGATGATGACGTTGTCATTCGTTCACCCATGCCGAGGAGTCGACACTCGTGTGGGTTGACATGCGTACTGTCATTCGTGTTTCCATGCAAACGTGATGTACTTCGTGTGTTTCCATGCAAACGTGATGTACTTCAAGTTGCCATACAAACGTGATGTCATGCGTGTCTTCAAACACACGTTGATCCAGAGGATTATTTATTTTATTTAGTATCTTATAAGGAGAGAGAGAGAGAGAGAGAGAGAGAGAAAGAGAGAGAGAGAGAGAGAGAGAGAGAGAGAGAGAGAGAGAGAGACATACGTGGTGTTTGACTCGTGTCTCCAGGCACACGTGATGCCACTCGTGTACACCACCATACATACCAACATACATACATACATATTTTGAAACATGGTGTCACGCGTAGGCGTGTGCCTCCAAGAGGACGAGGTGGAGGGTGTGGGTTCTTTTGGATTGTTGTTGTTTGTGTTGGCAAAGCAAGCAGGGTGGGTGTCGATGGTGTGTGGAGATGATAGATCACTGGGACGAGCTTATCAAAGTTATCATACACAGTCGATAACCCAACCACTTTGTTGCTAGATTGACACCACATCGGCGAAAGATCTTGCTACAACATTCCACAAATGACGTCATCGACTATGATGACGTGATTGTAAACTTTGAGGTGCAAGGTTTTGTTCCACAAGGCGATCGTATTGTAGCACAAGGACAATCGTTCGTTTAAGAAACAGTGGGTGAGTGGCGATCACCTTAGCGCTACGATCATGGTGTGGAATTCTAACGGTGTTTCCTGAATTTCTAAAGGTGAATCGACAGGCACAGACATGTAGGAATGCAGGGAGCGATCGAAATGGCCCCTGTTTTGATGGGTCCAACACGGTGCGCGCTGATTGGTCCGTTCCGGCGCCTGACTTTCACCCAGGTTTTCCAATCTGGCCCGACCCTTGTGTTTCTTTTCCATAGGAAAAGTGATGACCAGAGAGTGTCTATCCTATTTAAGACACTGTAACCCTGTTTCCTGATTGGACGACAGCCCAAACTTCTGATGGGTAATCATTTTTTATCCTGTTTTTCTCCCTGGTGTGAGCATGCTGATTTCTCAATCCTAAAAACACAACACAATTCATTTTTTCAACTTTTAGAGCGGATCGAAAGGGCCCCTGTTTTGATGGCTCCAAAACGCGACACGCCGATGGATCCGTTTCGATGCCTGGACTGAGCCTCAGTTTTCCAAATTGGTCCAACCGTTGTGTTTGGGGTTTTTTCATAGGAAAAAAATGTATTTTCCATGGGAGAGAAAGCACAACTCGGCTTGGGTGCTGTCTTCTGATTGGTCAGTGCTGACTTCTGATTGGTCAGATTTTCGACCAATCAGAGACCTTCTATAAATAGATCGTCTTGTTTGTGTATATAAAGGAAGGGCTGATGTTCATCAGGCACTCATCGCCACCATGACGGACAAGCAGAGTACACCTTATCGTTTGGAGAGGAAAGACACCACACGCTCCAGGCGGTTAAGAACTGCTAACCATACCTATCGTTTGACTTTCAACTCAGACTACTTGGACACCATACCACCGGACTGCGTTCCCATTGAACTGCCGGCTTTATTTGACAGAGTGATCGATGACTTTTAACAACAGATGTCAGGCCAGAAGGGAGATCGTATTGGTCTAGGTATCGATCATCCCGCTTTGAACACCCCCATACGGATTCTCTTTCGTCGCTTTGACGATCTCCATGGGTTAGATATTTTGCATGCCGTGAAAAAAGTCCAATAGTCCAACAAAGCCCTGAACATTGAGGCCACCATGGTTGTGACTTTAGTACACGTAGCAGATCCCGACAGGCTAGGATCAGAATCAGGATCAGGTGACCGTCTGAAAAACGTGATTGGACTTGAAGCCTTTTTAAAACGTAAAAAGGGCATTGTACGGATCAAGAACGAAGATCAATGCTGTTTGGCACGGGCCCTGGTGGTGGCACAGCATTATGCCCAGAAGCCCAACCCTCTGACCCCAGAATAGACCAACCAGTGAATGAGACTGACGAGAACGGATCGAGTCGACGTTCAAGGCATCCCGGCACGGGACTTTTTTCAGCGTCTTGGCCTGCCTGAAGGTCCCTGTCAGGGCCTGGACGACCTAGCACGCGTGTGACGCGCCTTGGCCCACATGAATTATCAACTGAAAGTCTACAGTCAAGAGGTGGACCAGAGACTGTTGTACAAGTGTGATGAGGCTCCACCCACCGCCACCGTGCTGCATTTATACCATCATGATCAGCACTACGATGTGATCACTTCCATGTCAGCTTTTTATGCGTCTAACTATTACTGCGAACGCTGCGACCACCGTTACGACCATCCCGAAAACCATCCCTTCACCAAGCAATACCACTGCCACCGCTGCTTCCACTCTAGCTATTGCGGACCCAAGGAAGAGCACGGGATCCCTTGCTTGACATGTCAACGCTGGTTCCCAAATCAACACTGTTACACTCAACATCTTCAGTCACCGTCAGAGGGAAAACCTAGCGCCTGTCAATTGATTCACAGGTGCCCGAACTGTTTTCAGCGTGGTGCAGTTAGGATCTGGACGATGCATCAGTGAAGTGAGCAAGGAGTTGTGTGAACACTGTCCATGGAGAGAAGAAGGTTATGGTGCCAGCTGCGAGATCGTGTTTCGAGGCCCCACCACGCGACATGATGTGTGTGTCCGGTTGACAATGCTGGCCAAGAAGAAGAACCAAGAGGAAGAGGAGGACAGCACACACAAGGGGGCAACAGCACGAAAGGGGACAACAGCACGCCTTGGGAAAAGAAAACGGGATTGAACCCCCTCAAGAAAGCACTCTTCAAAACGTCAAAGACATTCATCACCCCAGGAGGAGGAGGCGGAGGTGGAGGGGGAGGATGCCATGGAAGTGGACGCACCCACCCCGTTGGAGGAGGAAAAGGGGAAGGAGAAGACAAAGAACAAGAACATCACCACCACTACGGTCCAGAAGGAGGACCGCATTTATGTGATGGCACATAATGCACGATCCTATGATTTGCACTTGATCCTGAAGGGCCTGTACCCCCTTCTGGTGAAACTCCCCACCAAGATTCGAAATGGACAACAAATTTTGCAGGTGACCCTGGGACGCTTGTGTTTCGAAGACAGTTTAAATTTCATACCCTACCCACTGAAAGCATTTCCAAAGAGCTTTGGGCTGAAAGAACTGAAGAAAGGGTATTTTCCACACTTTTTCAATACTGAAGCCAACCAGACCTACAGAGGCCCCTATCCACCAGCCATCATATACGATCCCGATGGCATGTCTCCCGCGGAACATACAGCCTTCCTCCAGTGGCACACCCAAAAGTGCAAGAAGGAGCCTTGTTTGACTTGCAAGGAGAACTTTTAGCCTACTGCCAGAGCAATGTGGACATTTTGAGACGGGGATGCGCTGACTTCCCACAGAACGCCATCAGGTCGGTTCGCATGGATCCCTTTGTAGAGGTGATGACAGCTTCTGCGTTCACCATGAAATCCTTCCGAAAACACGATCTGAAACCCAATACCATTGCCATTCTCCCACCTCAAGGCTACCAACCCAAGAGAAACTATTCCCAGGCCTGTATGCACTGGTTAAATTATCTGATGGAGACGGACCCCAATCTGCACCTCCAGCACGCTAGGAATGGTGAAAAAGAGTTCACGTGTGGAGAGGGCCAACATCAGTACAATGTGGATGGCTACGATCGAGCAACAGGCACCATCTACGAATTCCTGAGGTGTTTCTGGCATGGGTGTCAAGCCTGTCACAAGACCCATTGTGGAGAACCTCATCCCGTCCTGGGCACGCCGTTGGGAGCACGTTATACAAACACCCGCTACCGCCTGAGTCTCTTGAGTCAACACCCTGAGGTGAAACGGATCGTCACCCTGTGGGAGCATGAGTTTACAAAAATGCAACAGGAGAACTCCATTCTGCGTGCTTTCTTGCAGGGACCCCCCTGTATCCGCATCCCTGGACCGCTCAACCCTCGCGACGCCTTCTATGGAGGACGCACCAATGCCAATGAAGCCCAAGAAGATGAAACCATCAAGTACATCAATATTTGTTCCCTTTATCCTTACATTTGTAAGACCGGAGCATTTCCCATGGGACACTCGACCCCTCTCCATCAACCACCTGTGGACACGTTGTTTGAGCTGAAAGGACTTATCCAATGTCGTGTCCTACCCCCGAAACGACTCTATCATCCGCTACTGCCCTACAGATCCGGTGGCAAACTGCTCTGTCCTTTGTGCCTTACGTATGCCGATACCTGGTCAGACTCCCCCTGCAAGCACACGGACAAAGAGGGGTCATGGGTGGGTACGTACGCCACCATAGAACTCCATGAAGAAGTATGACTACCAGGTGCTTCAGATCTACGATGTTTGGCATTTTGACACCTTTGCACAGCATGACCCCGACACCCAGCAAGTAAGACTCTTTGACACTTATATCGATCGTCATTTCAAGGAGAAGCTCGAAGCCAGCGGATACCCCGAGGGATGTACGGATCACGGCGCTTACATCCAGGAGATCTATGACAAAGAAGGCATTGGGTTGGACAAGGACCGCATCGAAAAAAACCCAAGACTTCGCACGATTGCCAAGATGCAACTGACTTCGCTCTGGGGCAAGTTTGGACAACGGTTAGACTACAGTCACAACATCTATATGAACGATCCTGTACAGGACTTTGCCTTGTGGAGGAATGAACACAATACCATCGAGGATGTCACCGTTGTCAACGAACACATGGTGGAAGTGACCTATACCCAGAGGAAGAATTCCAAACCCCTCATTCTCATTTCAATGTTGCCATCACTGCTTGGGTCACTGCCCAAGCACGTCTCAAGCTGTACGGGACCCTTGCCCTGGTGGGTCGCAGGGTCTTGTACTTTGACACGGACAGTGTCATTTACATTCATCGACCCCACTACACGAATCCAGAGCTGGGCCATTCGTTGGGTGAGTTTACAGATGAACTGGACGGAAACACCATCAACACGTTTGTGTCAGGAGGCCCCAAAAACTATGGCTATGAGTTAATGAACCCCAGACCGGATGGAACGCGCACAACCTGCAAAGTGTGAGGGTTCACTTTGAATTACAGAAACGAACAACAACTCAACTTTGACACCATGAAAGGACTGATACTGGGACAACGGCCTCGGAAGGAGGGGGAGAAAATCAGCTTGTATTACCTTCATCAAATCATTCGAAAAGGACCTCGGCACGGAAACGCTCTTGTGACCCGACCCACCTGAAAAGACTATCATACCGTGTACGACAAGCGACGTCTCGTCTATGATGAAACCACAGGGCTACCTGTAGACACGCTCCCCTTTGGGTACAGAGACGACTAAATCATTTTGTTTATTTCATCACAACGGATCGAAACTGAATCGACATGGACACCTACAGAAAAACCAGATCGAAATCTGGTCAATCAGAAGCTTGGGTTGTCGACCCATCAGAGGCCGTGCTCAGGCCATGCTGGGCTCTGATTGGTCAAAATGAGGTTGTGCTTTCTCTCTCACGCTACAAGCCTGACCCTATGGAAAAGAAACACAAGGGTCGGTCCAGTTTGGAAAAATTGACTCAGACCAGGCCCCGGAACCGACCAATCAGAAAGCAGGGTGTCAGTGCCTTTTAATACGACCAACGTTCCCTGGCCATCACTTTTCACTGAACGGTCCAAGCAACAACACCATCATGTTTCCGGCCACTACTACCGTATGACAACAATGGCTACTACCGCATCACCATCAAACAGTAGAAGAAGGAGAAGGGGGACAAGGGCGAGGACGTTCTCAATGGCGATCATTTTCGTCGTGCAATGGCGGACATCCTGGGGAGTGGCTAGTTCTACATTGGGAGATGATGAGAATAAGCGCCTTGTACAAAGCTTCCCATGACTGCATGCATGAGAAGTTAAAGAGTGTTGTGGACACATTTCTGCCTCCGGGGTATGGCATCTGCATCCCCAGCATGGAACTTTACGTGGAAAAGTCAACCCCAACACCTGAAGCAGCAGCACTCACAGCATCCATACTCAAAGCAGCCAAAAAAGCAGCAGCACCACACGTCGCAGCACTCACCGCAGCGGTAGCAGAGGGAACGTTAAAAGAAACACACGTATTCTTCTCAGCACTCATCGCAGCATCAGCAGCGGCAGAAGCAGCACCCATACTAACAACAACACCCTCAGAAGCAGTGAAAGCAACACAACAACTCGACTCAGCACTATGGACATCGATACTAGCAGCCGCCGCAGCAACACCTGCAGCCATAGAAGCAGCAGCAGTAGCACTCGTTGAAATAGTAACGTCACATGCACCCTTTCTGCAGCAGTACTCATAGCAGACAACACCAACAACAACACCCGTAGCAGCAGCAGAAGCAGCCACCACACAGGCAGAAGAAGATGCAGCTGCAGACGCAGCAACAACACCCTCACTAAAAGTATTCATCAATGCACTACAGATGGCGCAATGCGCGGCAGGTGTGAGAGCATCGAAGGGGACACCCCGAGAAGCAGCAGCAACAGAAAAATTCGCCTCAGCACTATCCTGGGCGGCAGCAACAGCCACAGCCGCCACACCCACAGCAGTAGAAGCAGCAATAGCAGCACTCGTCGCCATAGTAACAGCAGTAACTTCAGCGCAGTCACCACCACCACCATCACCATCACCATCACCATCACCATCACCGATGGACACCTCAGATGCATCAGCATCCACACCAAAACCAGTGGCACCAGCAATGGCAGCCACCACCCCCACAGCAATAGAAGCACCAGTAGCAACACCCTCACTAACAGAACTCTTCGACGCACTCCACGCAGCAGCAGAAGCCACCGCAGCAGCAACAACATCCTCACCAGCAGCAGCAGCACCAGAACTCATCTCAGCACTATACAGAGCGACAGTAGCAGCTGCAGCAGCAACACCTTCACCAACAGAAGCAGCAGCAACTGCAGCACTCGTTGCAACATTGAGCAGGCTACCTGTGTGATGACGATGACGAAGGTTGTCATCCACTTTTTCGCATTATTCGCATTGTTTCGCATTGTTTGCCCTGTATCTAAGTTGAAGTGTGTTAGGTGTCATCATTAAACAGGGATAAATTGAACTGACTCTTTGTGTCTTGATTGATCTCAACTCCAACAGGATGCTGAACCGAGGGTAGGGGCTGAGTTGAGATGTCGTCTACGTTGACTGTCTGTCTGTCTGTCTGTCTGTCTGTCATGGCTGTGCACACCAAATTGAAGAAATAAAATAAAGAATAACATATAAAAATAGATAAAAGAAAAAAAAGGCTCATGCTTGAAAGATCAGCTGCCTGGTGTCAGTCAGCCCAAACAGGGGATGGAGTCTTATCACATCGTCAGTGACATGCAAGACGTCATGGTGTCAATATGGTGTTCAGACTAATCGACACCCACCCTGCTTGCTTTGCCAACACAAACAACAACAATCCAAAAGAACCCACACCCTCCCTCTCGTCCTCTTGGAGGCACACGCCTACGCGTGACAGCATGTTTCAAAATATGTATGTATGTATGTTGGTATGTATGGTGGTGTACACGAGTGGCATCACGTGTGCCTGGAGACACGAGTCAAACACCACGTATCTCTCTCTCTCTCTCTCTCTCTCTCTCTCTCTCTCTCTCTCTCTCTCTCTCTCTCTCCTTATAAAAAACTAAATATGATAAATAATCCTGTGGAACAACGTGTGTTTGAAGACACGCATGACATCACGTTTGCATAGCAACATGAAGTACATCACGTTTGCATGGAAACACACGAAGTACATGATGTTTGCATGGAGACACGAATGACAGTACGCATGTCAACCCACACGAGTGTCGACACCTCGGCGTGGGTGAACAAATGACAACGTCATCATCCTATGAATAAACGTGTGTTTGTAGTCACGCGTGGCACCGCGTTTGCATGGCAACACGAAGTACATGACGTGTGCACGGAGACACGCATGACAGTACGTATGTAGACCTACACGAGAGCCTGAACATTGAGGCCACCATGGTTGTGACTTTAGTACACGTAGCAGATCCCGACAGGCTAGGATCAGAATCAGGATCAGGTGACCGTCTGAAAAACGTGATTGGACTTTTAAAACGTAAAAAGGGCATTGTACGGATCAAGAACGAAGATCAATGCTGTTTGGCACGGGCCCTGGTGGTGGCACAGCATTATGCCCAGAAGCCCAACCCTCTGACCCCAGAATAGACCAACCAGTGAATGAGACTGACGAGAACGGATCGAGTCGACGTTCAAGGCATACGGGCACGGGACTTTTTTCGGCGTCTTGGCCTGCCTGAAGGTCCCTGTCAGGGCCTGGACGACCTAGCACGCGTGTGACGGCGCCTTGGCCCACATGAATTATCAACTGAAAGTCTACAGTCAAGAGGTGGACCAGAGACTGTTGTACAAGTGTGATGAGGCTCCACCCACCGCCACCGTGCTGCATTTATACCATCATGATCAGCACTACGATGTGATCACTTCCATGTCAGCTTTTTATGCGTCTAACTATTACTGCGAACGCTGCGACCACCGTTACGACCATCCCGAAAACCATCCCTTCACCAAGCAATACCACTGCCACCGCTGCTTCCACTCTAGCTATTGCGGACCCAAGGAAGAGCACGGGATCCCTTGCTTGACATGTCAACGCTGGTTCCCAAATCAACACTGTTACACTCAACATCTTCAGTCACCGTCAGAGGGAAAACCTAGCGCCTGTCAATTGATTCACAGGTGCCCGAACTGTTTTCAGCTGGTCCACGTCTTGGAGACCCCCATGGCTCACCATGAGTGCTCAGATGAAGAACATCCCTGCTTACCTCCGTGAAGCCCACGAGGAAGAGGAGGGGGAAGAAGAGGGGGAAGAGGGGGAAGAGGAACAACATCAAATACGAGACAATGTCAAATATGTGTTCTATGATTTTGAATGCATGCAAGACACGGGGGAGCACATTCCAAATTTGTGCGTGGTGCAGTTAGGATCTGGACGATGCATCAGTGAAGTGAGCAAGGAGTTGTGTGAACACTGTCCATGGAGAGAAGAAGGTTATGGTGCCAGCTGCGAGATCGTGTTTCGAGGCCCCACCACGCGACATGATGTGTGTGTCCGGTTGACAATGCTGGCCAAGAAGAAGAACCAAGAGGAAGAGGAGGACAGCACACACAAGGGGGCAACAGCACGAAAGGGGACAACAGGACGCCTTGGGAAAAGAAAACGGGATTGAACCCCCTCAAGAAAGCACTCTTCAAAACGTCAACGACATTCATCACCCCAGGAGGAGGAGGCGGAAGTGGAGGGGGAGGATGCCATGGAAGTTGACGCACCCACCCCGTTGGAGGAGGAAAAGGGGAAGGAGAAGACAAAGAACAAGAACATCACCACCACTACGGTCCAGAAGGAGGACCGCATTTATGTGATGGCACATAATGCACGATCCTATGATTTGCACTTGATCCTGAAGGGCCTGTACCCCCTTCTGGTGAAACTCCCCACCAAGATTCGAAATGGACAACAGATTTTGCAGGTGACCCTGGGACGCTTGTGTTTCGAAGACAGTTTAAATTTCATACCCTACCCACTGAAAGCATTTCCAAAGAGCTTTGGGCTGAAAGAACTGCCTTCCTCCAGTGGCACACCCAAAAGTGCAAGAAGGAGCCTTGTTTGACTTGCAAGGAGAACTTTTAGCCTACTGCCAGAGCAATGTGGACATTTTGAGACGGGGATGCGCTGACTTCCCACAGAACGCCATCAGGTCGGTTCGCATGGATCCCTTTGTAGAGGTGATGACAGCTTCTGCGTTCACCATGAAATCCTTCCGAAAACACGATCTGAAACCCAATACCATTGCCATTCTCCCACCTCAAGGCTACCAACCCAAGAGAAACTATTCCCAGGCCTGTATGCACTGGTTAAATTATCTGATGGAGACGGACCCCAATCTGCACCTCCAGCACGCTAGGAATGGAGGTGAAAAAGAGTTCACGTGTGGAGTGGGCCATAATCAGTACAATGTGGATGGCTACGATCGAGCAACAGGCACCATCTACGAATTCCTGAGGTGTTTCTGGCATGGGTGTCAAGCCTGTCACAAGACCCAACGTGGAGAACCTCATCCCGTCCTGGGCACGCCGTTGGGAGCACGTTATACAAACACCCGCTACCGCCTGAGTCTCTTGAGTCAACACCCTGAGGTGAAACGGATCGTCACCCTGTGGGAGCATGAGTTTACAAAAATGCAACAGGAGAACTCCATTCTGCGTGCTTTCTTGCAGGGACCCCCCTGTATCCACATCCCTGGACCGCTCAACCCTCGCGACGCCTTCTATGGAGGACGCACCAATGCCAATGAAGCCCAAGAAGATGAAACCATCAAGTACATCATTTGTAAGACCGGAGCATTTCCCATGGGACACTCGACCCCTCTCCATCAACCACCTGTGGACACGTTGTTTGAGCTGAAAGGACTTATCCAATGTCGTGTCCTACCCCCGAAACGACTCTATCATCCGCTACTGCCCTACAGATCCGGTGGCAAACTGCTCTGTCCTTTGTGCCTTACGTATGCCGATACCTGGTCAGACTCCCCCTGCAAGCACACGGACAAAGAGGGGTCAAGGGTGGGTACGTACGCCACCATAGAACTGCATGAAGCCGTGAAGAAGTATGACTACCAGGTGCTTCAGATCTACGATGTTTGGCATTTTGACACCTTTGCACAGCATGACCCCGACACCCAGCAAGTAAGACTCTTTGACACTTATATCGATCGTCATTTCAAGGAGAAGCTCGAAGCCAGCGGATACCCCGAGGGATGTACGGATCACGGCGCTTACATCCAGGAGATCTATGACAAAGAAGGCATTGGGTTGGACAAGGACCGCATCGAAAAAAACCCAAGACTTCGCACGATTGCCAAGATGCAACTGACTTCGCTCTGGGGCAAGTTTGGACAACGGTTAGACTACAGTCACAACATCTATATGAACGATCCTGTACAGGACTTTGCCTTGTGGAGGAATGAACGCAATACCATCGAGGATGTCACCGTTGTCAACGAACACATGGTGGAAGTGACCTATACCCAGAGGAAGAATTCCAAACCCCTCATTCTCATTTCAATGTTGCCATCGCTGCTTGGGTCACTGCCCAAGCACGTCTCAAGCTGTACGAGACCCTTGCCCTGGTGGGTCGCAGGGTCTTGTACTTTGACACGGACAGTGTCATTTACATTCATCGACCCCACTACACGAATCCAGAGCTGGGCCATTCGTTGGGTGAGTTTACAGATGAACTGGACGGAAACACCATCAACACGTTTGTGTCAGGAGGCCCCAAAAACTATGGCTATGAGTTAATGAACCCCAGACTGGATGGAACGCGCACGACCTGCAAAGTGTGAGGGTTCACTTTGAATTACAGAAACGAACAACAACTCAACTTTGACACCATGAAAGGACTGATACTGGGACAACGGCCTCGGAAGGAGGGGGAGAAAATCAGCTTGTATTACCTTCATCAAATCATTCGAAAAGGACCTCGGCACGGAAACGCTCTTGTGACCCGACCCACCTGAAAAGACTATCATACCGTGTACGACAAGCGACGTCTCGTCTATGATGAAACCACAGGGCTACCTGTAGACACGCTTCCCTTTGGGTACAGAGACGACTAAATCATTTTGTTTATTTCATAACAACGGATCGAAACTGAATCGACATGGACACCTACAGAAAAACCAGATCGAAATCTGGTCAATCAGAAGCTTGGGTTGTCGACCCATCAGAGGCCGTGCTCAGGCCATGCTGGGCTCTGATTGGTCAAAATGAGGTTGTGCTTTCTCTCTCACGCTACAAGCCTGACCCTATGGAAAAGAAACACAAGGGTCGGTCCAGTTTGGAAAAATTGACTCAGACCAGGCCCCGGAACCGACCAATCAGAAAGCAGGGTGTCAGTGCCTTTTAATACGACCAACGTTCCCTGGCCATCACTTTTCACTGAACGGTCCAAGCAACAACACCATCATGTTTCCGGCCACTACTACCGTATGACAACAATGGCTACTACCGCATCACCATCAAACAGTAGAAGAAGGAGAAGGGGGACAAGGGCGAGGACGTTCTCAATGGCGATCATTTTCGTCGTGCAATGGCGGACATCCTGGGGAGTGGCTAGTTCTACATTGGGAGATGATGAAAATAAGCGCCTTGTACAAAGCTTCCCATGACTGCATGCATGAGAAGTTAAAGAGTGTTGTGGACACATTTCTGCCTCCGGGGTATGGCATCTGCATCCCCAGCATGGAACTTTACGTGGAAAAGTCAACCCCAACACCTGAAGCAGCAGCACTCACAGCATCCATACTCAAAGCAGCCAAAAAAGCAGCAGCACCACACGTCGCAGCACTCACCGCAGCGGTAGCAGAGGGAACGTTAAAAGAAACACACGTATTCTTCTCAGCACTCATCGCAGCATCAGCAGCGGCAGAAGCAGCACCCATACTAACAACAACACCCTCAGAAGCAGTGAAAGCAACACAACAACTCGACTCAGCACTATGGACATCGATACTAGCAGCCGCCGCAGCAACACCTGCAGCCATAGAAGCAGCAGCAGTAGCACTCGTTGAAATAGTAACGTCACATGCACCCTTTCTGCAGCAGTACTCATAGCAGACAACACCAACAACAACACCCGTAGCAGCAGCAGAAGCAGCCACCACACAGGCAGAAGAAGATGCAGCTGCAGACGCAGCAACAACACCCTCACTAAAAGTATTCATCAATGCACTACAGATGGCGCAATGCGCGGCAGGTGTGAGAGCATCGAAGGGGACACCCCGAGAAGCAGCAGCAACAGAAAAATTCGCCTCAGCACTATCCTGGGCGGCAGCAACAGCCACAGCCGCCACACCCACAGCAGTAGAAGCAGCAATAGCAGCACTCGTCGCCATAGTAACAGCAGTAACTTCAGCGCAGTCACCACCACCACCATCACCATCACCATCACCGATGGACACCTCAGATGCATCAGCATCCACACCAAAACCAGTGGCACCAGCAATGGCAGCCACCACCCCCACAGCAATAGAAGCACCAGTAGCAACACCCTCACTAACAGAACTCTTCGACGCACTCCACGCAGCAGCAGAAGCCACCGCAGCAGCAACAACATCCTCACCAGCAGCAGCAGCACCAGAACTCATCTCAGCACTATACAGAGCGACAATAGCAGCCGCAGCAGCAACACCTTCACCAACAGAAGCAGCAGCAACTGCAGCACTCGTTGCAACATTGAGCAGGCTACCTGTGTGATGACGATGACGAAGTTTGTCATCCACTTTTTCGCATTATTCGCATTGTTTCGCATTGTTTGCCCTGTATCTAAGTTGAAGTGTGTTAGGTGTCATCATTAAACAGGGATAAATTGAACTGACTCTTTGTGTCTTGATTGATCTCAACTCCAACAGGATGCTGAACCGAGGGTAGGGGCTGAGTTGAGATGTCGTCTACGTTGTCTGTCTGTCTGTCTGTCTGTCTGTCATGGCTGTGCACACCAAAGTGAAGAAATAAAATAAAGAATAACATATAAAAATAGATAAAAGAAAAAAAAGGCTCATGCTTGAAAGATCAGCTGCCTGGTGTCAGTCAGCCCAAACAGGGGATGGAGTCTTATCACATCGTCAGTGACATGCAAGACGTCATGGTGTCAACATGATGTTCAGACTAATCGACACCCACCCTGCTTGCTTTGCCAACACAAACAACAACAATCCAAAAGAACCCACACCCTCCCTCTCGTCCTCTTGGAGGCACACGCCTACGCGTGACAGCATGTTTCAAAATATGTATGTATGTATGTTGGTATGTATGGTGGTGTACACGAGTGGCATCATGTGTGCCTGGAGACACGAGTCAAACACCACGTATCTCTCTCTCTCTCTCTCTCTCTCTCTCTCTCTCTCTCTCTCTCTCTCTCTCCTTATAAAATACTAAATATGATAAATAATCCTGTGGAACAACGTGTGTTTGAAGACACGCATGACATCACGTTTGCATAGCAACATGAAGTACATCACGTTTGCAAGGTACACATGCAGGATTTTATATGCGCTTCTTTCAATGTCGATCTTTTCACATTGTACGAGCGCTTCTTTGGGTTTCCCCCTCCTCCCCGGAAACGGATGTGCCGCCCTTTTGGAGGTGCGCACGCCACCGGAAACGGATGTGCCGCCATCTTGGAGGCGCACGCATGACCCACAATGCCCTGAGCAAACCGAAACCGGAAATGACGTCATCAGAGATCACGTGACCCCACCTACCAATCAGAAGCCAGGAGCGGTTCGAGAACGATGCTACCAACTACTACTGTCACTTACGATTAATGTGTGCACTTTTATTCGAACAACAGTCCACACAGTGGACAGCTTCCAACGCATATTTGTGTCGATGGAACCCAGAGTGAAAGGACGCCCTCGACCCACGGTGTACTGACCCCATCAAGTCGCGGAAAGTTCCGAAAAACGTATTGCATTGGAATGTCTGCGGCAGCTCAGAAGAGAGGAAAAGCTATAAAACGCAAAACAGGAGAGAAAATAGTCCCTTACAAGTAGGTGCGTTGCGTGAGTAAAAGAAAGACGACAGCTCGACAGCTCAACAATACACAACTTACGGTCCCTAGGGTCGCAAGTGTCAGTCCACTTCCAAGGACAACATATGAGGTCCAATAATGGAGGTTATCCTTACAAAGCTATCATGGAAACTCTTCTCAAGTATGGAGCAGATGCGAAATGTTCACAGCTTCAGTCACAACTATCCTGACTAGGGAACATCACTAGCTGATCTGGTTTCCAAAGATCCGATTGGCGGAAGGAACGATGATCTCATCAATCGAGCCTTTATTGCCCATACCCCTCACCCCATGTGGACCCATCCTAGAATATGCCTTTAATCTCAGGTGAAAACTGAAAAGACATTGAAATCAAGATGTTTGGATACAGTACATCCATTTTCCTTATGTCCGATGTCAGGAGTATACCATCAATCTACAAGATGTGTATCTAAAAGTATGTAAACTGATAGTAAAAACTGCTGTTAAAATGTTAAAAGTTAGTTTGTAAATATAGACGCGATCTCACGAAAGAAACCCTCCATTCAAGATGGTGGCGCCCAGCGAGTGATCACGTTCGATGCCGAAGGGGTAACTTGTTACTAACAAGTAATAGTTTGTGTGTTAGTATATATGACGTACGTAACTAAGGCAGGTTGCTGGAGAATGACGGTTAATAAGACGCTAGTCGTTGTGTCATCACTTGGCATTGTTCTGATCTAACACTCCTCTAATTCTCACACATAACGAAGAGCTTGAGAAGTCGAATGCCTTATATCCTTATATGAGAAAGAAGTGAAAATGGCCTCTGTGGCCTCTGTATATCCACTGGTGGCAACTATCTCAGGTCAGCTACCTTGAGACTGGAGGTACAATTCAAGTTGGAATTTACGAGTAGTCAACGTTAATTCTATGTCTTAGTCGCCTGCACTTTTAGAGAGGGGGTGGGGTGCAGGTTGGCATCGTGTTTACCAAGTAAACATAATAAAGATATAAAGAAGCCCAACACTCACACTCAAACTATGAACCATGGACAGCTGTTGTGTGCAATTGACAGTGACCCCACACTCAGGAGGTGTGTGTCGTGGAGTAAAGGGGCCGATGTCCCGTCAGACAGGGATGTATTGCCAAGACAGATCCCTCAAACTCATATGGTCAGCACTAGGTTACAGTTTATTTTGAAAATAATGTTGGTGAAATTTTCGTCGATGCGGACATTCTGCACGCTATTATCATACAGATTATGTGCACTTTATCGAGAATCACTGCAAGTTGTATCCATGTTATACCCAAGCTACACAACAACCAAAATCGAAGCAATAACAAACTGTACACCGATATCTATATATCACAAAATATGCTAGTATACGTTTTCAGTGCTGTATGCTCAGGAATAACATGTGTTAGATTTGTTTTGTGTTTTTGTACGTTATTTAATAGTTTCGAAACATGGCATTGTATTCAGTTTTCACGTGACAGTCACACAGGATGGCCATACCTGTCAACTCTTACAATTTCTTGAGACATTTATTCAGGAGATAAATATGGTACAAGTAAAAGCTTCTGTAGCTATTGTCAAGCGGTTTTTTTAAATGGAAGAATACAAGTAACTGGTTACGAAAGACGCAGATATTTACAAGTCAACCCAATAACATTTACTGGAGGATTTTCACTCTTTCTAATATCATTTGATAGATCTATCAAAGGCAGTCTCATTGGTCACACATATCTAATACCATTTATCTTTACGAGCATGTACGAAAGACGAGGCGTAAGATATTCCCCACAGACGAGGTCAACGCGTTTTCCTTCTCGTACCAAAAGTGGCCTTTAAAAGTTTGACAAAGAGTCACTAACTTCATTCGCTAATTTTGTGTCAAACTGTGAACTTGTCATGGAATCGACTAGCTTTCAACCGTTCACTACCCCAACAACCAATTTCGGTGATTGGTGGAAACAGCAGTGGTAAAACCTATCTGGCTACAAAAATCCGAATGCTGACGCTCTCTCACCATCTCGCTATGTCCGTACTTAATCTCCAACAAGCGGCTAAATATTTCATTGAATCTCAATAGAGATGTTGTCGACGCCAAGAAATATAATTATCTTGCTATCTACACTTCTCCTTATGTTATAACTGAGTACGGTCACTTATGCTCAGGAATTCTACTTGGTATACTTGGTACCAACTATCAACCCAGGCATTTAGAAGTGAGCCTGATAAATATCAAATCCCGTACAACTTCGAATTTAAGTTAATCTGTGTGAAACTGCGATATGGGACACGTCTACCTCTTGAAATGGACGCTATAGTTCCCTACAATGTCTCACTCACAGCGCCCTCGTTTACTTCTGAACAAACTCTTGATTTAGATTTGCTGAACAGTTTGGGGGTTCCTATATCTTTTATGTACAAAAGAACAGAACTAAAGGAGAAACCATGACAGAATGTATTTACCGGCGTCTTGATTTCCTACACTTGAAAGGTGAAGCTGTACCATTGCAGGGGGGAACCTTTCCATCTCACTTAACACAGTCTAAGTTCAAGGCAGTTATTTCTCTTCTACATAATTTCTAAAAGATTTCTAAACACTGTTACTGTAACAATGAAAATAAAGTCGTATTCACTGAATGAAGGCTTTGGTTATGAATCACACACAGAAAATATGACACTTATCCCCTTTCCACTGTAAAAGGAACAACACGTGAATGATAATGACATCTACTCGGTGTAGAACTACATGCCAATGATAATGACATCTACTCAGTGTACAACAACATGCCAGTGACAATGACATCTGTTCGGTGTACAACAACATGCCAATGATAATGACATCTACTCAGTGTACAACTACATGCCAATGATAATGACATCCATCTACTCGGTGTACAACTACATGCCAATGATAATGACATATAACCAGTGTACAACTACATGCCAATGATAATGACATCTACTCAGTGTACAACTACATAATAATGATAATGATATCTACTCAGTGTACAACTACATGCTAATGATAATGACATCTACTCAGTGTACAACAACATGACAATGATAATGACATATTTTCGGTGTACAACAACATGCCAATGATAATGACATCTACTCGGTGTACAACAACATGCTTATGATAATGACATCTACTCAGTGTACAACAACATGACAATGATAATGACATATTTTCGGTGTACAACTACATGCCAATGATAATGACATCTACTCAGTGTACAACTACATGCTAATCATAATGAGATCTACTCAGTGTACAACTACATGCCAATGATAATGACATCTGTTCGGTGTACAACTACATGCCAATGATAATGACATCTTTTCGGTGTACAACAACATGCCAATGATAATGACATATGTTCGATGTACAACTACATGCTAATGATAACGACATATGTTCGGTGTACAACAACATGCCAATGATAATGACATCTACTCAGTGTACAACTACATGCCAATGATAATGACATGTGTTCGGTGTACAACAACATTCCAATGATAAGAACACCTGTTCGGTGTACAACAACATGCCAATGATAATGACATCTACTCAGTGTACAACTACATGCCAATGATAATGACATCTGTTTGGTGTACAACTACATGCCAATGATAATGACATCTACTCGGTGTACAACTACATTCTAATCATAATGAGATCTACTCAGTGTACAACTACATGCCAATGAT